AAGTGCCAAAGGCAGAACAATAGTATGCATATTTTTCAAGTGCCAAAGGCCTGATCATGCGTCTTTTACTTATGCCGGATTTCCATTCTTGAATAAGTCATTCTTGAGTGAATTTGAAGCGAATTTGCCTTTGTTCTTCAGCATTATCTGTATTTTTCTTCATCTTCACCAATCTCTACAAAGTTCCCTTTGAATCTTTCCGCAATGACGGATGAACAACGAGTTAGGGTTGCATTATAATGTTGTGGCAGAGAATTACTCAGTACATTATAGTTGTTCTCTACAAAAGTATTGTTAATTTGCCAATAACATTGGAGTACCAAATATTGGTATCTCTAAATATGTAAAAGAATGTGTTAGTAAACCGTCTGTGAACCTAATCCTAAGGTGAGTGAGATATTTGTATTCTCTTACTCCGCAAGAAGTGGCATGTTATGCCGAGTTCAAAATGCTGCAATAATTTTTAAGGACTCCGAACCAATACAAGGATATTCTTGTGATAAACATGTTAGAAATGTATGTAAGCTCCGAATTTGTGAACTGGAATGAGAATCCGCAAAATACGGCTAATACTCAACTATCTGGTGGTAGTTTTAGAGTTGTTTGTGTGAAAGAGTCTGGCCTGATCTAAACATATATCCACGACTTAACGAGGAGCAAGGATACAGCTTCTCGCAAATGCAGCACCATGTTGAGCCGACAAATTTGCAATTTTCACGAGCTAACTTGTAAATATTCACTTACTATTTGTAGTATTATTATTTGTTTTTTTGTTTATAATAATAATATGTGTTTCTTTCGTAGGGCGTATCGGCCGGACATGAATTTTGCTAACGAAGGCTGTACTAGTTATGAACAAACCAACAGACAATTGGTCATTAACTTAGACCGTTTGGGAGAGGGACGTATAGCGCATGAATATAGATAATATTGTTACGCCTTTTCCCCTCCTAGACTCCTAGTTTAGTCGCTTGAGTTTAATTGGTCATTACTTTGGTTCCAAACTCACTAATTGACATTAATCTCTTTGACTCTTGTGTCTTGATGTAGTAATCAATTAGGGAGACATTTCAAGAAACTATATACTATACGTACCTTCATTGAATATATGTAAACAATTAAAGTCCATAATCCATCTAATATCTATTGAAGAGTATAATAAGGCTTTTCGAAGCGCGCTAAATTTCAGAAAATGATCAATGTATAAAGTTTATAAAGAAAGTTTTTCTTTTTAAGGTCCTTTGGTAGCAGTATCTTATAAAGGGGGAGATGGTATTATTTTCCTTTGGTAATATCTTAAGAACTTCTAAAATATGCCCTAGTGCTACCTAAACTTTTAAATGCAAATAATATCAGCTTTTTAAATATAGTTATAAAATATAGTTATGAGCGAAAATAAACAACAGAAGGAGAAACTTCATAATTTAGCGATTATATTATAAACAGAACTGATTATCAATTAAATTATAATATATTAGTAGTGGTGAAAAAAATATTAAACTGGTTGTAAAATAATTAGCTCGATAGAGAAAACATTCATTAAAATTTAAGTTTGAATTTCTTAAATGATTTGAATTCTTCAAATTTTGTAATAATATTACAGCACAACTCCATCCTCCCAAATGGTTATCCTATTTCTCTCTAGTCAAGAGTTAAACCAAGTAATTTTCGACTAAAATACTTAAAATGTATTCCTTCGTAACTTGGATATGGGGACGGATACTCTTTTTGTATAGCTTATGTTTTCTTATATTTTATTTTGAAAATATGAGTTACTTATGTAGAGTGCAAAAACATATAGAGTAATATTTAATCACGGTTAAGTGATAAATGTGTATATAAACAACACATATTATGCATATAAACATCGGGTGTTGATCACTACGAAAAAGCCTAACTTATCAACAACAAAAAACACGTTGAATGAACCTAAGTTAAAAGGAGTTTTGATCATGGAATGGGAGTATTACATAGAAAATGTTTATTTGCGCCTAATGGCTACTCCAATCATTTCGCAATTCAAGAAAACCCAATAGTTATCAAGGTAGATATTTTCGGTATCGAATTGCCAGCAACCAATTATGGTAAATACAGTTTGAGAGTTAATTAATAATTGGCACAAATATTTAATTTCCTTATAACTCCCGTGACGTGAAGAGAACAAGAAGACAGCTTCTTCTTTTTGTTCTTTTTTTCTTCTTCTGGAAAACGTCAATCTCTCTTTTTTGTCTGATATCCTTTATTTGGGAAAGAAACTAAAGTTAATTGAAAATTTTCCATTAAGAGAAACTGATTTGTGAATTTATTGTTCGGACCATATGTAGGGCAAGATAATTGAGCCCTGACCTGTTCTCTATTATTGGGCGTCCCCAAAGGGACTAGCCTTGACCTGTTTTTAATGGTAAAACATTTGAACATTAAATTTTAATATACCTCACCATTTTTTCTTACCAGTTATTTTCTTGTGAGATTTGACGTGACACAAGGAAAATATTACTACTACTAGTTATTTATGCACCCATGAGTAGGTCTAACAATCAATGAAGCAAAGCGAATCTTTCGAAACGATCGTTCGAATCTAAACAGATAGAATATGATGGACAAAATTATCCGATATATATGTTAGTAAAAAGAACAATTCAAGGTGGTCTGAAGTCTGAACACCACCGTTATAATAAAAAATCTAGTTTAAAGATTTTAGTATGTGTACTGAGCTATAGTCTCAAATAAGAATTACCACCTTCAAACTCTGAGGCAATGGAATTTACCCCACCACATGATTTTCACATGGACACCAAAAATCAATGGATGAATCAATGTAAATCTTCTATATCTATTTTTCCTTTATTCAGATCCATATATAGGGCAACTATATATGAGAAAAATCCAATGTGCATAAATATCTAGATGGAAGGCAACAGACAACAGTTCATATATATCAATCCATAGGGCTATGATGTGGGGTACACTGCAGAAGAGAAAAGGAAAAACATGATGATTGCTAAGACAACCAACGTGTCTGTTCAGGTTTATGATAAAGCATTGTGGGTCAAAGGTTTTTTGAGGGACATGTTATTGTGAGCAAAAGAAGGAACTTTAGCACCAGTGGACAAGTGCGCTTCCTGCTAGAACTACACTCTTAACAACAAGACAACTTCAGTGACCTCTACAACGACAGTAATACAAATATCCTATATCCATCTTGTCCATTAGTTGATCAACAGACAAACATATTCTGATGAAACTTAAAAAACAATAAAATTTCATCCAGGAATTACACTCTCTTATTTGCTTTTTCCTTTTATTTTTTTGATTCTTAGCTCGCTGGTACTATCTTTCTGGCATATGTTGTTGTTACTGTTCTATTATCTCTTATTATCTTCTTGTGCCGAGGTTCTATCGGAAACAGCCTCTCTATCCCCAGGGTAGGGGTAAGGTCAGCGTACACACTACCCTCCCCAGACCCCACTTGTGAGATTATACTGGATTGTTGTTTTGCAAAATGCAAACTCTCATGACAGCAACAATTACGTCATCGGCTATATAAATCCTCATTGATGTCCATGTGGCACTATTAAAGCTCATCTTAGTCAAATATTATATAAAATATCTAAGCAGAGAAATATTAAAACTCTGAGCAGAGAAATATTAAAACTTCAAGTAACTTGTATATGTAAAAGGGACTAACTCTACTACTTAAAAATTTCAATCTTATGCAACTTATAGGCAAACAAATCAAAATCTGAACTTCAGATAACATTACGAATTCTACATCTGTGCTAATCATGTCAACTTAAAGAGCTATGAAAAGCTATTTCAATCTGAATCAAACCAAATTTACATGATAACCAAGAAAGATCTAAGGGTTTAACAAAAGAATTCTGCTACATTCACCCAGAAAATTGAATGGAGAATTATCTACACAAGGTGATATAGGTACCTGAGATATTATATTCATGGTGATACGCGGGCTATTACAGTTAGATGATGTATCCAACAGCATCTCCAACCAGAGGCGGATGTAGTGTATAACTTACGGATTCAACTGAACCCATAACTTTCGATGCAGAGTCAAAATTTGTATGTAAAAATTTACTAAAATTGCAAAAATAGTAGATATGAACCCATATTATAATGGGTTCAATGTTAAAAAATTAAAATTGAACCCATATAATTTAAATCCTGGATCCGCCTCTGTCTCCAACATAAATGATCTCCACCATTTAAAGGAACTAACTCGCATCCACATTTAAGATGCTTATGTACTTCATTAAACATATCAAGAGACATAAATATGACAATGTTAGGTTCGCAGAATAACCAAATTCCGGAGTACTGAATGTTACTCACCTTCCCCTCATCTTTGACAACATTGTTTTACTGTTTAACTTTCAACTAAATATTTCCAGTAATTGACAAAGCCATTAGTCCTCTATGAATGCAAAAAATGAGAAATCCATATTTTCAAGAAATCCGATATGATCTTGTTGCTTTTCTCTCTGCTGTCTTTCCCCAAGCATATCATCTATTTTTGCAGTATGAACAGTTACAATACTATATTTATACTACATTGTATAGGGTCACAGGAACTACTTAGATAATACAGTATTAGTGTGGACAAATAAAAAATGCACTTCCATGTATTCTTTTGTCCTAGGACAATGTTGGGATAAGAGGGATTAAATCTGCAATGAAACTGAGTGTAACTATAAAACAAGTTGCATCCTACTTTTACAAGGCAACAGACAACAAACCGTCAAATATCTCCTGGGACCCGAATAAAGTAAGTTCTGAAAGCAATAACTAAAAGCAAGCTCGTTATAGTTCAAGGGCACTGAATTTTATAATTACTAGTGCACTCAACTTTTAGAAAGTGGAACCAAAGAGTCATATCAGATACTTTTAAGCCTAGGATTCCTTGAATTCAGCTACTAGTGTGTTCATCATCATCATAACATAGTAGAATTGAAAGTGCAGGAAATATATGATTATGCAAAAGAAAATCAGAAACGACACTATTCCTTCGTAACTAGTAAGGTCTACATATACATTACCCTTTCCAAATCCCGCGTGTGGGATAACACTGGGTTTGTTGTGGTTGTTGTTGCAAAAGAAAAAGCTGATAAGAAACTAATAACATTTTTCTTCCTTTTTTTTTTTTGCTAATCTTGTAACATTTTCTACACAATCATACATGAAATTACATTGAACAGTGTGAAGCTACAGTTAATGAAATGGTAATAGAACACTCAGTGAACTCACCGGGCCTTTTTCCGGGACTTGAAAGGGAAATTGGATGGTGGTGAAGGGGAAAACTCAAATGGCAAGTGGGGTGGCTCAGATTCACCACAAAGCATCCCAACAATCTCTTTCATTGTCGGGCGTTTGTTAGGTGATCTTTGTAAACAGAGTAGTGCTATTGTGATGCAAAGCAATGCTTGTTCTCTATCCAGTGACTGAATATTGGGATCAACAAGATCCAAAAGCTTGCCCGAGTGAGCAAGCTGCCTAGCCCATGAAACCAAATTAGCCCTCTCAAATTCTGACATAGGAGAAGCTGTAACTTGGAGTGGCCTTCTCCCTGATACCAAAACCAACAATAGAACACCAAAACTATACACGTCACACTTCTCCGAGAGCTGCCCTCCGCCACCATACTCTGGAGCAATGTAACAAACGGTTCCTCTCATACTAGGGGTACTACTCACACCTCCACTCTTGGGAATATCTCCACTGGCAAAATCTTGACTGCTTCTTCTTCCTATTCGAAACTCTCCACTGAAACTATCAAGCCACCAATCAATGCTGCTTCTACTTCCCTTACTTTTTCTCCTCTTTCTTTCTGGCACTAGTTCTTCATCCCTTTGCCACCACATTTCTCCCCCTTTGAGATCCCTTTTCTTCTTTTTCTTGGCTAACTCCTCACAAAACTCTTCCTTCCACCATTCTCTTGGCTTCCTATTCTTCTTTTCTTTCCTAAGTTTCTCCTCATCCAAAGATCCCCACCATTCAAGCCTCTTTCTTTGCTTCTGTTGCCCCCCTTTGGCAACATCTTCTTCTGCACTTGTGGTCGCAATCCAGTCCTTCTTAGGCCTCTCCTTTTTAATCTCACTACCAATCCATTCCATCACATAGTCCTTAATCCTCCCAGAATCTGATCCACCATTCACATTCTCCTGTTTCCACCACCAATCTCTGCCTGATTGACTAATTCCCCTCCCAATCCCTCTCGAAACTCCACTATCCACACTAATCCCATCAAAAAACCCCTCAGAAACACTAGTTTTTTCTACCCCTTCTGATGGCACTCCCACCTCAGGTGACATCCCTCCCGCTTCCCCATCCAACACCCTCACACAACAACTCTCCGGCAACTGATCCACATTTATCACAACCTCCTCTGTCACCACACTCTCATTTCCTTCAAGAATCGACCCATTTTCCTCCACGTTCTCAAGAACTTCTCCTTTTGCCCCCTTCTCAACTCTCTCCTCATCTTCAATGAAACACTCAACAACTTGATCATCTTTAGTCAAAGACTGTGCTAGCCCAAAATCAGCTATTTTTGCATCAAAATTGTAATCCAACAATATATTAGACGGCTTTATATCTCCATGTACTATAGGAGGATCGCACGAATAATGGAGATACTCAACACCCTTTGCAAGGGAACTTATAATATCAAATCTCTTTCTCCATTGCATTAACTCGGGACATTTTTTATCTAACAAAGCATCTTGGAGGCTACCATTATGCATATACTCATATACAAGAACTAATCTTCTCCTCCTCCGACTAGAGCAGTGATGCTTATAACCATGCTCGTCAGAGGAGAAGCCGAGGATAGGCACTACGTGACGGCAAGATNGGTAGGTGGTGGGGAAGACAGGTAGGGTGGTTAGAGGAGGTGGATATGGGTTTTCTGGAGGCATTTCTTGAGTAAAGGTGTGATCTTGGAAGAGCTAAATATGCATATTTGCAGAGAGATTTGTTATATTGATGAAAGAAATGGACTTTTGGAAGAAAAAGGAACAAACAAGAATGGTAACTGGTGAAAGTATGGAGTCTAATGTGAGTACTGTGTGACTGTGTGTGATCTCTTGAGGAAGAAAGGGATGATATGGGAAGAGTTTAGAGATACATATTAGCAGAAAATTTTGTTATATGGATTAAATAAATGGACTAGTGTGGAAGAAGACGGAATAATCATACACAAGTATGTGACCGTTCTGATGTTGATAGAGTTAAAGATGCAAATTTGCAGAGAGATTTATGAAAGAAAAAATAAGAAGGGAGAAACAAGAATGGCAACTGGTCGGAGTGTGGAGTCTAGAGTGAATACTGTGTGCATCTCTTGAGGAAGAAAGGGGTTATCTTGGAAGAGTATTAAAGATACATATTTGCACAGGTTTGTGATACGCTGTGTGATTGTTTGTATTTCTTGAGATCCATATTTGCAGAGGAGATTTATTAAATGGATGAAAATAAGAAAAAGGACATATAGTGTGGAGGAAGAAGGAAGAAACAAGAAATATGGGGAGTCTAGTGGGGTTGTGGAGTGTAATGTGAATAGTGTGTGACTGTGTGCATTTCTGGACAAAAGAAAGGGGGTGATGCTTGCTGTTGCAGAGAGATTTGTTTTAAGGATGAGAAAGAGAAAAGGACCAGTGGGAGAAGAAGGAACAAACAAGAGAGAGTGTGGAGTGTAGTGTGAATACTGTGTGACTGTGTGTAGTCTTTATCTTCTCATCTCTCTGTTACTAATGCTATGCTACCGTGAAACACAAAAGCTAGATCTGTTTTACTTTTGCTGAGTCAAAATCTAAAGTCACGGGCCGTGACGTAAAGTCTGAGGTTTTCTTTTTTTTCTCTCATTAAATTAAAACTTTAGATATTTGCCACGACTCTCAAAAGCGATTGGGAGGTATAGTGAGTGCTTCTATTGGGGCTGTGCCATCGGCTTCCTTATTTCGGGCTATGTCGGAGCAGAAGCTGTTATGCGTGATTCGGTAGGTCAGTTTATAACTATAATTTTTTTGATTTTTTGAGGTTGTATCAATGTTAGCATACTAAAATTGTGAGTTCATGTTTTGCTTTCGTCTGGTTAATTCAACATTTTAATGCCCCAGGTACAGTTGAATGTGATGCTCAAGTATTTTGTGCTTTTTTGTAACTCCTCAAGTGAAGATTTTACCGAGTTTGAATTACTTTTAGATGACTGTCATTTCTTATTAAGGAAAAATTCTAATATTTCTCTGATTTGGGCTATGAGATGAACAAATCTAGTTGTTCATTGCTTGGCAAAAGAGTCTAGAAATTATGCTAATCTTTCTATTAAAACTATGCTACTCGTTCTATTGTAAACTTGTTGGTTGCTTGAATATCTTCGTTTGAGTTTTAAAAAATAATATGTATTATTGAAACTACATGAAAAATAATGCTACTATCATTTATATTTTACTATAGCAAAAGAAGTATGTTCTAAAATGTAGTTGAAGTTCACTTAGGTTGAAGTAATATTTAATAAAAATATATGACGGAAGAATTAAAATACTAATGGAGAACTAGTAAGAAATACACCTAATAAAAAGGAAATAACTATAATTTGGAGTCAACGAACAACACGCATGAGCAACCAAAATATGAATATGATATAGATCTCCAAATCTCTCAAAAATCATATTTGGACTTAACCTTACGCCTTTCCAAAAGGGGCATTATCACATAGGGCGGTTTAAAATAGAACTGTAAAAACAACGTATTGGTTTATTAATATCGTTTTATCGGGTTAATGATTGATAAACGGATTAAAATTTTATAATTAATGACTCAACAGTTTGAAGACGGATTATGCAATGATCCTTATAGGATAAACCGTTAACCTATTAAAAGCTTTTATATTTATATTTTTACCTCTATATATAAAATAAAAAAAAAGATTATTGGTCGGTCCAATGTATATGGAACATGTCATGATCTTGATGTAAGATTGGATTTAAGTTAGTTGGGGCAGAGTAGTAGTGCTAGTCTACTACTTCCATATATACAAGCATGTGATTTAAGCTAAAGGCGGTTGATAATCTCGTTGCCCAAATACTACACCCACTCCAACTTTGAATGAATTTGATTTGCTCAATTAATTCAGCTTTACTCAATTAATTCAGCTTTGAAGAACGCCCTTATTGGGGTTCAATTTCTATTTTTCTAGTCTTACACAGTTAGTTGAGTTTTCAATACAAAGGGCTTCATTTACTTCATCCAGAATTATTACAAAGATAAAGCAGATGTGATACTTTACTCCAAATTTTTTCTTAATCGATAATCAGATAAATCGTCCGATAACCGTCCGGCAATCGCTAATTCAATACCAATCTGTCTGATGTCTTATTGGTTGGCTAACGAATTATTATATTTATAAATCGATAACCGATAAACCAAACTATTAGCATAATATCCGCCCAATTCGTTTGATAAACACCCCTATAATATCACAGTCAATCACAAAAAGTTTACATAGTAAAGAAAGAAGGAATTCTTATATCTATATTCAATCACCTCTTTTACAATCTCCGTTTTTCTTTCATGTTCCAAAAAGTAGTGTTTATTACTCACCCGGTCCATTTTAATTAATTTTTACTTGTTTTCATACATATTAAAAAATTTATCTTTTAACATTAATTAAGAATAAAAATGATCATATTAATCTTAATTTGCTCATTAAAAATATAATAAATACTCATATGTTCTTTAGTCCAAGGACAACTTTGAAAAAAGAGAGTTAATTTCTTTTATCTGAAAAAATCAAATATTGTGGATCACAAAAAAAATACTAAAAAATTAATTTAAGTAGTAGTATATTAACTAGTATTGGTACGTATTGAAGTGGTGTAGTACAACAACAGGGTCTGGGGAGGGTAGTTGTTTAGGCAGACCTTACCCCTACCCTGAGGTAGAGAGGCTGTTTCCAAATAGACCCCTGACATCCTTCCCTCCAAAAACTTCTCACCTTGCTCTTGGGGAGACTCGAACTCACAACCTCTTAGTTGGAAGTGAGGTTGCTTACCATCATAGCAATCCCTCTTGTCCGAAGCGGTGTAGTACTTAGCTTCCAAATTGTCTACCTCCAAAATATCTATAGAAAACAAAAGAGAAACATATAGTACAATAAAAAATGGTCCAAACAGCCAAGGAACAACTTGTCATTTCTCTCGTCTTCTTTTTTTGTTTTTTTGTTTAAGCATTAGATTATTGTGCTCGCTGCTTCTCTGCGAGTATATTCGAAATTAACATACTTAATTTTTTTCGTTGTTTAACTATAAAAAAATCAAGACATACATAAAAGTTTCTAACTGTCTATAATTTGAACAGCAATAATGAACGTATTCGAACTTGAAATAGAGATCCACTCTTTGCTTCTCATGCATTAGAAGGCAAAATTCAAGAAAGAGAGTCAAATTTTGTTATAGAATAACTTCTCTCTTCCCCACATTTAGTGCCGTTTGGACATAAGAATTGTAAAATTTCGAAAATGTGATTTTTTTTTCCAAGTGAAAATGGTATTTGAAAATTAGATTTGTGTTTGGACATGAATATAATTTTGGGTTGATTTTGAATTTTTGTGAGTGATCTGAGTGAAAAATTTTGGAAAATAACTTTTCGGAGTTTTTCAAATTTTCAAAAAGTTTCAAAATTCATCGTCAAGTGAAAATTAAAATTTTATGACCAAACATTAATTTCGAAAAAAAAGTAAAAAAAAATCGAAAAAAAAATTCATGGCCAAACGGGCTCTTAAAAAAAATGGAAAAGGGAAAAATTAGATAGAAGAAAATGGATAGCAAATTGACTAAAAGCAAGTTGAAAACCAAATGAAGGTTAGTTGTGTAAGCAAAGTGCAACATCATTTATTTCTTCTATTATAAAATAAAATAAAAAATCAAGTGTACTATCAGATTATGAAATTCTATATACTAGGGAGTATTACTTTAGGTAGGGAAGAACAAAGGGAAAAGGATGGCAGAGTTTACCAAAGCGCGAAAAGGAGGTTGACCGAGGTTGTACTTTCATTCTTAGCTAACACGCTTAGTTATTCATCATTAATTAAGACTCGGTTTGGAAAGCTACCTCAGAATTGGATTTGAGTATAATTGAGTGTAATTATATAGTTTGATATGTTTGTTTGACCAAGTAATTACTTAATCAGTATGAAATTGGGTATAATTGAAGGGGTGTATTACACTCTCCAATTCTTAAGGGGAGGTGAGAATTGGTGGTAATTACACTATATAATTACAATATTGCCTTTTAGTTTCTTTCCTTTTTGTTTTTATTTTAATTTATTTTCTGTATAACTTTTCATTTCTATTATTTTACTTTTTTTAGTTTTTTTTACTTTTTAATTTCTTTTGAAAATTTAAAATATATTTTTCTTTGTACATTATTTGTCTTTTATTTATCTACCTTTACTTCTTGTGATTTCATGTAATTGCTTATATTTTATTATTCTATTTTTTCTATACCTCCTAAATTAGAAATAATGAGTCATTAAGAAACTTGATATATAATGAATGATTGCAATTAAAGTAAAATTTCGTTGTTGAATGTGGTTATAAACTTATTATGTTTCTTAATCTTAAGTTGTAGTGAAACTTACTACATATGTTGGAATTTGACATATGTTAAACTTCTTCTTTTTTGGATTTTGAAATTGTGTTATATTCATGGTTCCAATTTACTTGTTTTATTAGTATTGACTCACATTGCATGTTGTTCATTTTTTAGTTAGAATTGATAGATTAGCTTTGTCAAACATTTGAATAATGTTATGACATTCTTTTTATAAACACAAATTTATTTTATCAAACATGAATTTCGTGAAGTTCTTGCAAAATATGTGTTTTTAGTTTTTGTAAGTATCGAAACTAAATATTATTAA